GACGCTGGCAGCAGTCTGGCTGCTTAGGAGGTGCCGATGAGAGATGGGTGGCCGCGAGCCCAGGAGGCAGGCGTCCTCCACAAGCCTCTCCATGGAGCTTCACCGTCCTTCCTCCCCCCAGGCTCCATCTGGTCACGGGAGCAGCACCGGCCCCAGAGGGAACTCTCAGGCAGATGGGGTTTGTCTGCTGTGGCCTCCTCGTTGCCATGATATATCCCCAAAGTGCCATGTCACCTCATGCCCCCATGCTGCCCAGACCCTCTCTCTAGACCCTCCCTCCTACCCCCCATCCCGTGTCCTCCCTACCAAAAGTTTCCTATTTGAATCGCAGCCATTCAGGGCCCTGCTCTGAGGTGCTTATTAAATCAATCAGCTGGGCTAATAGCTTAAGAGTGTTACCCTCCTAATAAGATGTCCCAGAGTCTTGGGAGCATCATGTTGTAATCCAAGGGCATTCAATCTGACCTGATCCAATCCAATGTGTGTGCGATGCAGGAACAACGATACTGTCCCTACACTGGGCATGGACAAACCAGAGGAGACAGACACAGAGAAGGAGAGAAGCTTCCAGTAGCACCTCTGCAGCCCTAAACCCACAGATGTTGGCTCTCAGTTCTACCTGCAGAAAGAGCCACCCTGCTTTTGGCAGTGCTGTTCCTCGAGGCTTCTGAGCGAGGAGGTGTGAATCACTCTGGGGTAGAGTGAGCAGGCCTCAGAGCCTTCTAGAGCTCGCCTGGGTCTTTTACTGACCTCAGAGGAATCAGTCCACCCTAAGACTGCTTCACAGTCTCTGATTCCAGGGTTTTCCATTCCTTGGAAGCATGACTCAAAAAGGCCTGGGGGCCTTGAGAAGGAGGTTATCGGTTGGATCATCTTTAATAAGAATATGCTCTCTGCCTCCAGGCCGGGGCATGTGGAATCATGGAAATATATACAGCACTTGATTATAAAGGGGTAAAAGGCTAAAGCTGGGAAGTTTCCTTGCCTGGAGCCCACAATTTCCTGGACTTTGGCCCATATTGGACTTCACATCATCCTCTAGATTAAGAGGCACACTAGGTAGAACCCAAGCTCTGGCTCCAGTCTTGACTTGGCACCAAGGAGCTGTGCATCCCTGGAGATCACTATACATCTCTGAGTTTCCACCTGTCTCCTTAGTGAGAAGAGGAGACTGGACTAGATTAAGGTTCCCTGAAGTTTGCTTTTCAGAATATTAGTCCAAGGAGACTGTGAGCTAGGTGGATTTGCTGCTCCTCTGATGTCCTTCTTGGAGATTCGTGATCCACATTATTAATAGCTTAATAAAGCCTCTGAGGACTATTCAAGACACATGTTTAATGCTGTTTAACCTGGCACTTCCCAAATTTAGAAGATGGTGAAACTTTTTCCTTTCGTTAACACCTATTAGCATCCAAGGGACCCGGGGTTGCCTTGAGCACACTTGGGACAATGTGGCCCAGGCCGTCTCTAATGCTTTGTAATTCTTCATTTTTTTGAGGAATACAGGAAATTTCCAGCAGTCCACTGCCATCTGTCACAGCGCTGCCCTCCTCATGGTGCCCCAGGCACGTGGCTGGGTCTGTGTAACTGTCAGAACTCATTTCAGGCTCATGGTTGCAACCGAAGTGGATCATCAGCTTCCCAAAATCCAGGCCCTGGGCCCTACAGACTCCTGGAGACCTCTGGCTGCAGACAGACTCCAAGCACCCTCCACTCCACTCCCCAGCCCTCCCACCATGCTGCATTTCAAAGGCCAACTCTGCACACCAATTTCTGTTCACGAAATGACTGAGGAAGGAGGTTTCTCAATTGCTGTCTGCAATTTATTTTAGGTGCAAACCCACATTTAAGTTTAACCCACATTTAAGTTTTACCAAACCCACATTTAAGTTTAACTAAACCCACATTTAAGCTTAACCAAATCACATTTAAGTTTAACCTACATTTGAGTTTCTTGCTGCAGTGACAAGGCAGAATTCATGTGTTTATTGCATGCTTCTCATAGAGGATATGAAGAACATTCTCTAGGGCCTCATTCGGTGGCTGACAGGTTAGCACACAGGGGCCATTGGAGAGAGTAGTGTATGCTACTATTCTTAACATGCTCCTAACCACATTGGGCCTCAGTTTCCTCATCTGCTGAATGGGAATAATGGCCCCTGTTCTGTTTCTCAGCACTCCTTTGGAGGTCTAGTGCATCAATGGGCATGAAAGCATTTTGCAACCTTTCAAGTGCCACGCAGTGGGCCCACGTTATAGGCACAGGAATTAAACCCCATGCCCTGGGGAGAGAGAAAAGGAAACAAATAACAATTTAAATAGGGGTGAGCACAGGATAGGAGATGTGAATCTGCTGTTTCCTCAGCTGGTCCCGGCTTCTACGAGCCTTTTACAATGTGAGCATCTCGTCTCCCTGGGATTCTAAAGTGTTTAAAGATACGTTATTTCTCATACATCATAGCATGAATGCAAGCCAACTGCTTCCCCTGGTACTCAACCAAGGAAGCAGGGATCTGCTGCGACACCGGAGGAAACAACGCCTGTGCTGGGTTCTCCACGGGCAATATTCCGCGCTTCACTGGGGCGGGCACCTTTCTAAGGAGTCTTCAAGGGTAATGCTGACCGTGCGTTACGCGCTGCCTTTTAGCGTAACTCCCATGCAAGAGGTGCGTCCCTCCGTGGTGCAGGTGTGGGGCTCATTACTGTTAAAGTCGCCGCCATGCACTCCACTTGGCACCCACAAGGGCAGGGGGAAGATCTCTCCCAGGGAGGGCGTGCAGAAGCAAGGACCGGCTGAACTCAGGATGGCTGTGTCAAGAAGCTCTGAGTTTCCTGCCTTCTCGCCCAGCACAGGGGTTTGACAATTACGGACAGCGCGCGCCGTCCCCAGGCCCCGCCGGCGTGCTTCCGCGCTGGCAGCCGCTCCTGCTCAGCCCCAGCCCCCTTGCCGCTGACCGTGGCGCGGCGCCCACAGTTGTAGCGCCAGGCGCGCAGCCTGTCTGCAGACTCAGCCGCTCTCCCTCATTCATGCTGCAGCTCATTCACTGGCTGGCTCTGGCAGGCTGCGGCTGGGCGCCGTCACTCGCACGCACTCCTGTGGCAATTTATTTCTGGCCATGTGCGCGTGTGTATGGGGGAGAGGGAGTGAGGGAGGCGCTTTCCTCTTAGAGGGGGATGCTTTTCCCTTCCAGCCAGAACTGCTCCCAGGCCTTGCAGTATTCGCCGCCCTGGCCTGAGCACCCGCGTGGGGCACTGTGCTAGGTGCTTCGCATGCATTGTCTTGTGCAATGCCTCGCTGCCGCTTTCCAAGGTAACCCCATTGCATAGCCGAGGTACTGCTGGATAGAAATGCTCAGGAAAAAGATGCCCCCAGTCAAACAGATAGTAAATGATTGGGCTGGGCTGGGAGCCCTGGTCCATCAAATTCCAACACCAGTCTCCTTATCACTGTACCACAAAACCTGTTGCCTCTTTCCTGGAAGCGGTTGCTGGGATTTCACTCATTTCCGCCATTATCCTTGTGATGCTGTCATGCAATCCTATCACCTGACTGGTTCCCCCTGGAACATGTGGCTTGGGTGACCTGGAAAAGGCTAAGTCTCTGGAGCACTCAGATTTCCCAGCATCAAGCCTGGGGGCGCCATGTCTAGTGCCTGAGCCTCTCCCGGCTCCAGCTCAAACGTTTTCTCGCTCTAAACTTGGGCTTCTTTCCCAAAGTTTTGCCCCATGTTTCTAAAGAGTACTCTTAATAAATACACGCACAGCCCCCGTAACTATTTGTAGCATCATGGAAAGTTCACTGAATTTATCAGAAAATCTGGGTTCAAATGCTGCTGCAATCAAATGTGTAAATCACTAGCGTCCAGCTTTGCAACCCAGGCAAACCAGTTTCATCTCTTTGAGCTTCAGTGGTCTCACCTATACTGGGGGGTATAATACATGGCCCACCACCTGATGGGTTTGTTCTAAAGATGATTAATGAGAAGCACATCATAAACTGTAAAATGTGGTGCTCATAGCAGGTATTACTAAGCACTTTGTGTCATGGCCTGTCTCAGATGTGGGTCTCATCTTTGTTTCTGGTTAAGCTTGGGTCAGTAGGAATGACAGGGGCCTGGTTCTGTCTTCGACCTCTGATCTGGAAAAGATCCTCTCCTTACCCAAGACGGAACCTGCTTGACTCTCCCGTCCTTTCTCAGAGATTTTCCTCGTGGTCAGTTGATCCGGCTCCAGAGCAAGAGGCTGACCAGCCAAGCGCTGCAGCCAGACCCGCCGGAGCCCTGGCAGCCGCCTGCGGGAGCCTCAGGGTTAATGTTTGTGCGTCAAAGTTACGTGGGGAGAAGGGGCCACGGTGTGGATGGGGGTGGTGGTGGTGGTGAATCCAGACCTCCTTTTAACATCTTCGCCTGAGAACTAAACTAGGGAAGTTTAAAGACAGAAGGGAGGTAGACGCGCCCCTGGGGAAGGTGAAGGAGCTGTCTTGTGACTGACAGCGCGAGCTGCTGTGTTTTGCATCTTAACGCGGCCAGGGATGGGGAGACTTGAGCCTGTCCACGGACCCTGCCAGGAGGAACTGAGGGTGATCCTCCTTCCCTGGGTTTGCAGAGCCACACGCTCTTTACAAATGTCCTTTTTGCCGCTGGTTCTCCTAACCCTCCCACCAACCCAGATAGGTAGGCAGGGTGGGCATTACCCTATCTGGACGCTGGGGTCAGAGAGGTTAAGAGATGAAGGTTGAGCAGGAGGGAAGGTGGCAAGAGAGCTGGAGGTCCTGACACCCCGCAGGTGGATGGGGTCCCTTCTAGACACAAAGCCCCAAAGGCTTGTCCCTAGAATGCAGGAGGGGCATAGAAGGATGTTTTGCTCCCTTTTCCCTGCCCAGAGTGCAAAAGGTTCCCACTCAAGCCAGCCCAGGAGTGATGGTCAGATGACTCCCGAGGGAGATACCCCCCACCCTGGACCCCAATTCAGACTTATTTGCCAAGGCAGCTATAACTTACCCTTGATACCACAAGAGTCAGGGAAGACTGCAACTGGGGCTGAAATAAATGCCCAAGTCACTCACAAAGTGGCTCTCCAAACCCACTCTCTAGGTGCCGCCTGCCCCCCACTAGGCGAGGAAACCCCCTAAAGCCAAGAAAAGAAGCAGGTTCATCTTACCCAGGGACTCAGGAAGAATCGTGCTCTTGGGCTCCCACTCCAGCTCCTACAGGTCTGTGAGGATTAGCTGCTCCAGTGCTTTAACAATAAACCCAATTAAAGGGGAGGAATGCAGGGGTTTTCTTTCCCAGGACCGTAACCAGGCAGCCTTAAAGGGGAGGGAAAGTAGCTAGGGTGGCTGGCATCTCTCTTTCCTTTCCTCCACTCTGCTCTCTCTCCCTCCCATCGAGCAGTAGCAAGTACGATCCAGAAAAATGCTTGTGTGAAGGGGCCCTTTTATGCCTGATGTGTATGTGTGTGTGTGTGTGTGTGTGTGTGCATGTCGTTGTGTTTGCATGACTGTGTGTGATGAAGAGAGAGGAAGAATGAAAAACAGCAAAAACCATCAAATTATAGTTTTCCCTTGGCTTGAATGGGTGATAGAAAATATCAGAGAAGCTTTCTAGGACTGCCTGCCTCAATTTCCCTTTTAACCACTCAGTTGCTGGAGTATGTTGTCTAAAGAGACCTCCCTGAACAACAGGATATCTACTTGGCTGGCAGGCAGAGACTGGAGACCTCTGGGTGTCTTATAGAATGGGGAGGGAAGCCCTCGGATGTCCTGCAGGGGGCCCGTGAGTTGGACTGTCCCACCCTGTATCTCTGCTTTCTCTCCTTTCCTCCAGAAGCACAGCATTCTGCTCTCTATCCTAACCCGTTAGACTCCAGAAAATCATTCCCCACCGCCTGGAAACTCTCTGCTCCCCCCTGTTCCATTATGCTCATCTCTCCATCCTGCCCCTGTCGGGACTTCACAGTCTCTAGCTCAGCTTCTCCTGGGCTGCCCATTCAGGGTGGGCTCCTTAAACCTGTCTTCCGCCCTCCTGCATTCGCCTTCTCTAGTTCCCCCTTACTGCTGACCTCCACTCGCGGGGCCCATCTCCATCTTCATGAAAACCTCCCAAACCAACACCCCATCTGGGTTGTCATCCTAACCTCAACATCCAAACGTCCATGTCATCTACAGACAAGCCTGAATGTGTTACAGCCACCTTCAATCTCGCCCTCCTCCTGGTTTTCCCAGCTATGTTAATGGGCTACCATCTTCCCAGACACCCAAGTTAGAGACCCTAGTGTTTGCTCTGTCTGTCTTGTCTGTTTCATGGTCTTCCAAATCCAATCGGCTCTTATGCACTTTCATTTGTTCCTTTGAATTAGTTTTTAAATTGTGCCTTTTGTTTTATATTCTCTTATTTTTTTTAAATAAATAAAACATGCATATGAGTCACCAAGAAGAGCCACATTAAAAAGCATATATTGGGGTGTATCACTCCCTTCCATTCCCCTTCTGCCCCTTGCCCCGGACACTGCCCTCTAGAGGTGGCCACTTTTATTACAGCATTTCTTTATGTGGATGCAGGCAAATCAAAAAAAATGTATATATATTTCCCCCTTTCTTACATAAAAGGGAGTAAGAAAAAGCTGCCTATTTTATATTTTCACCTCTACAATCTTGGTTCAGGCCCTCATCCTCTCTCTTAGGAACTATTGCGACAGGGTAGGCTCTAGTTGGTCCCTAGTGAGGTGGTGCAGTAGGATAGTCAACAGTGGCTCTGGAGATGACTTCTAGCTTGGAGTCCTGGGTCTTCCACGGACCACATATGTGGCCTTGGGCAAGTGGCTTAACTCCTCTGTGCCTCAGTTTTCCCATCTATAAAATGGGATAATTACTGAACTTGATCATGCACTAGTAGGATGAAATGAGACAGACTGCAAGTTGCATAGAACAGTGACTGGCGTAAGGTAAGCACTTGATAAATATTAGTGATGATCATTACCTCTGTATGCTCTGAATATTCACGTGCCCATCCAAATTCATATGTTGACACCTTTTCACCAGTGTGACAGCATTGGGAGGCGGGGCCTTTGGGAAGTGATTAGGTCATGAGAGTAGAGCCCCACGAATAGGATTAGTGCCTTTGTTAAAGAGGCCCCAGAGAGCTGCCTTTCCTCCGGGCTGTTTCCAAAACTCTTTGTCTACAACTCTCCTTAGGTTTAAAAACTTTTTCTGCATTGAATTCCAGTATTTTCCACTTCTATCTCCTTTTTTGAATTGAAAGTTCTTTAAGGGCAGGGATTTTGCCTGCATTTACTGTCCCCTTTTCTTCCTTCCCCTAATCCTCCTCCTGTGCCTGGCTCTGCAGATGTTTATAGGATCTGATAGATTCATCAGCTCTCAGGGGTGGAAAGGCCTTTAAGAGCCATTATAATTAAATAACATATGATTTGCTAGTGATTGGTGTACATAGTAAGTACTCAATAAATGCTAATTCCTATTAGTATCGATAACAAGAATAATAGGATATTATTATTATTATTGGTCCAACATTTCATTTATTGCCTGGAATCTCTGGGTATAGCATCCCTGACTGGTCGCTGTCTTCCTTCTGTTTGAACACTCTGGAAGTAGGGAGTTTATTCCAGCCCAAGACAGCCAAGTAATGCCCATGGGCATTGACTCATATTAAAAAGTTTATCTCCATTCCGAGCTGCATCCTGTCTCTCTGAAGTCTTCCCCAGCACACACGTATATACACTCATTCCTTAAATATCTATCAAGTACTGATTGTATACTTGCTATTGGTACACATAGAATTGTTACTGTCCAAGCACACGAATCGGTCAATTCTGCACCTTGTAAGACACTGAGGAAAGGTTGAACTGGGCAAGGAACTGCCTGTTATCATGAGGCAACTGGAATCCTCCTTCTTCCTTCTCTTTCCCTTCAACACACTTGCACACTGCTGGTCTTGGTAAGCCACAGAACCAGGGATGAATTCTCTGCTGTGGAAACAGGAACAGATTCAGTGGATGGTGGGTGCCAGAGGAGAAGGCGTTGCCTCTTTATGCTGAGGTCAGAAGCCAGGTCTCCTTGCAAACACTGACCGGGCTGTCCACTAATTATCAGAGGCCTGGAGTAAGGGCAGAGCATCTATTGGTCAAGTATTTTCACATGTGACTACAGAACATTCAGTAATGTTTCTCAACGACGTGGAAGAGAGCGTTTGGCCTTATAACACATGCATAAGGTATAACACACATGCATTTACACACAGATATGCACACACATACATGCATGGTTGCAATTTTGCCCTGTTCGTATCCTTTTAATGGCCTCGTCTCTATATTTTTCCCAATCAACAAGTCAACCAAATATTTATTAGACATCAGCTATGTGTCCAGAAGAGGAGACAAGACTAAAACACAGAAAACAATGGGAGATCAATCAATAGCTAAATAAGGTATGATTAATTCATGTTGTCTCCGGAGATGGGGCCATGGGGAGATTGCTGTGGGTTGGAGATATCAGGAAAGATGTCATAGAAAAGATGGAACTAAATCTGCATCTGAAGGATGAGTAGGACCAGATTTGGGAGGTGTCAGGGCGGGTGGGGCGGAATTAGGAAAAACACAGAGGTAGGAATACGCAAAACCCGTGCTGGAAATGATGAGGTGTCTTGCAAAGCAAAGTGGCCACGTGGAGCTAGCCTAGGCCATGTGGGCCCCCACCCCGCCCATCTGACCCTGCCTACCCCTCCACGTAAACGAAATAAGAGGCTCTCTTATGCTTTTCTGTGAGAAGGAGAAAAGGGAGGTGTACTCGTGAGGACACAGCAATTCTTTCTCTGTCAAAGAGCAGCTTCTTGCCTCACCTTGGTTCTGCATGGTCCCTTACGTTTCATTAGATCTCCAGATTGAGCTTTTTGCACGGCCAGATGACGAGACACGACGATGTGCAGGGTGGAAAAGGGAAGGGAAAACGAATCAGAAGAGGAAGAATTAGCTGCATGAGAAGTCAGAGGAACAAAAGCACAGCGTGTGTAAGGACCCTGGGGTGGAAGGGAGCCAGACCTGCCGTGGAGACACGGAAGCAGTGCATTGCGACTGGGCGGGGAGAACGGCGGGAGAGTAGCCAAGCGTAGCTGGGGAGGCAGGAAAGGAGCAAATTGTGGAGTCCTTGAAGGTAGGATAGGAAGGGTAACGAGAGGGGAGGAGGGGCCACCAAGAACAAATGTTTCCTCACACATTGCCGGTTGGAGGTTGGATAACAGAGAATGGGATGTGCTCCCGACTTGGGAGTGGGGGCGGGCGGGAGGGAGCTGAAATTATAGGACAGTAGAGACAGGCTGGCACACAGGCGGGGATCGATGCAAGACTTGCTACTTTAGTATTTATTTGTTTTAAAAATAAGACACCAGACTGCCAGCACTTCTAGGAATAGACATCTCCCACTGCTGCGTCTTGGTCTACACTGTTCCTGCAGTGATGAGGACTGCTCATCTTTTTATCTGAGCTGGACCTTCAAAAAATCTCTTCCCCTGAACACCCTTCCCCGGGTCCACAGGCACAATGGACGACCCTCTCCCTTCTCCCAGAGCTCTTGCATGGCTGTAACAGTACCCTCCCGCTGGGGTTCAGATTGGTCTGACCCGCCTCAGGGTTTTCCCTTAGATGATAAGCTCCCTGAGGGCAGAAACCATGCTTCAGTGACCTCGAAAACTTCCACAAAGTCCTGAAACATTGAAGGGCTGAATAAAAACTAAAAATGAGAGTTTTCCGGTGTATTCTGAATTTGACACCGCAAACCGAGCAGCGGGGGGCAGTGGATAGTAAGCGCATGGGCTTACCATGGGCTGCCCCTACGGACACACAGAATCCAGGAGAATACACAAAACAGCCCATTTCTTCAGGTTTGTGTTACATCTTCCAATTTCTTTAGAGTCTTCAGAGAGCTGGGTGTCAGGGGTGGGCCAGTCAGTCGGCATCTCTGGCTGTGTCCTCAGGGCTACTCTGCCCTTTTTTCCGCCTCGACTTTCTCCCCCTCCTCCCCTTCCCAAGGCAACCTTAACCCAAGGAACCCCCCCCAAAACCTTCCGGCCCTCCCCCCCGCCCCCGCCCAAATTCAACAAAAAACCAAGTAAAACCGGCCCCAACCTGGGGGGCGGGGGGGGTGGTACAGGATCTTGCAGGTGGAACATCTACGAAGTGAGTGGATTTTCACCTGCTCCTCCCCACACG